ATTTTGAATTTCAAATTATAAATTTTTTAATTTTAATTTCATTTTCAAAATTATATAAATAATTTAAAAAAAAATTAATTATAATATTTTTTAATTATTGTTTTGTGTACTTTTTATGAGGCTCTTTATATGACTATGTAATGTTCTTTATAAAAAAAAATAATTTTTATTCTCTAAAATTATTTCACTTAAAAATAACTTAAGATTTCGTTTTTAAATTTCAAAATTTAAATTTATAAAATTTCGTTTTCAAAATTTTAGTTTTCATTTTTTTTTTTCGTTCTTATTTTCCACCTTTAATATATATAGCTATAATATTCATTTTAGGATTTGTATATATAAAGTTTTTGTGATGTTCTATATGTGATTTAATAATGTTCTTTATTAGAAATCATGATGTACTTTATAGTTGTTTGTATTGTACAATTATTTTTTAAAACTATATCTTTGTCCTTATGTCCATAATTATATCATATAATTATTTTTATTAGATTTTTTGATATTTTATTTTAATTGTCCATGTTTTTTTATTGTAATTGCAATGTACTTTTATCGCCACATAATATTCATTGCTTATTGTGAAATATTCTTTGAAATTTGTCTTTGGATCGTGGTAGGTATATATATAAGTTATGTTCATTACATAATATTATCATGTTCTTTAATAATATTACGGATGTTCTTTAGATCTAATATTACGGATGTTCTTTAGATCTGGAAAACAATCATCAATAGAGAAGATCTCTAAAGAATATCGTCATCAACCTTAACGATCTTGATTTTTAAAAATTATATACGTAGTTAGTGATAATTAATATTAAAAAAATATATATATAGAATTAATAAGTGATATATTATTTAAAAATACAGAATAAATCGAAGAACATCGAAGCAAAGAACATAAAGGATAAAAATAAAGAACATTCGTATAATTGTTTAATAACTATAATAACGAACATAAGTACAATTTATAAAGAACACCATCTTCAACATTTGACAAAATATAAAGAACATCATCTTCAACCTTTGACAAAATAAAAGAACATCATCTTCAACCTTTGTCATATGGATCTCAAATTCATAAATATCAAAATTGAAAAAAAAAACGATATTTTACAATAATCATGCAAAATAATAACGAAATATAATCAACCTAATAAACAAAATCCTGAAATTAAAATCATAACAAATAAAATCAAATTACCTTCTCCAATCCATCGATTACAATGATCTCATAATTTGCTCTGTATTTTTCTCTCTACAAAATTCTCTATAGACTTTATTCTCTCTTAATTCGAAATTGAAATATGGTGAAATTTATTTTTAAAAGTTATGTAAAAATGGAGAATATCATGTTGAATCCCATGAATTGTGGAAGATATTATTATTATTTGTTTTAAAATAACAAACTGACAACTTGCAAATGAAATGTTAAAAATGCATCATTTAACACTAGGTGTACCATGAGCATGGTACACCCTGGTGTACTATACAATTTTCATCGGAGGGTATTAGGGACTATGGTAAACATTTCAACAGTTTTTATTTTCGAGCAAAAAAAAAGTCAAAAAATTCCAAAATTGAAGGCTAAGATCCATGGTTTTTGAGAAATTTTGGAGGTTTTAATACCTGGTGTCGAAAAGCCTTGAAATTTTAGGGGATATATCTCAGGGTCATATAATTTTGTTTGGAACCATTTATGATCATTATATGTTGTCTTAAATGTTCGTGGTAGCCTTGATTTAATGAAATCGATGCAAGTTGTAAATCGGTAAAATGGCTGTTTAAAGGCAAATTGGATGGTTCCACCCACCTAATTGGACTCCCATAGAGTATTAGGGGTCATGGTAAACATTTTGACAATTTTTATTTCCGGGCGATAAAATTCAAAAAATTCCACAGTTAAATGCTAATATCCACGTTTTTTGAGAAATTTTGGAGGTTTCGAGACCCGGCGTCGAAAAGGCTTGAGATTTTAGGGAATACATCTTGGAGTCTTATAATGTCGTTTGGAACCATATATGATCATTATATGTTGTCATAAATGTTCGTGATAGGCTGGAATTAATAAAATCGGTGTAAGTTGTAAATCAGTAAATTGGGCGTTTAAAGGCAAATTGGATGGTTCCACCCAACCAATTGGACTACCAGAGGGTATTAGGGACCATGGTAAACATTTTGGCAATTTTTATTTCCGGGCGAAAAAAAGTAAAAAAATTCCAAAATTGAAAGCTTAATATCCACGCTTTTTGAGAAATTTTGGAGGTTTTTGGGCCCAGTGTCGAAAAGCCTTTAGATTTTAGGGGATATATCTTGGTGTCATATAATGCCGTTTGGAACCATATATGATCATTATATATTGTTATAACTGTTTGTGGTAGGCTTGATTTAATGAAATCGGTGCAAGTTGTAAACCAGGTCATTTTCAAATCGGGTCATTCTCGGGTTCAAGTCGGATTCGGTTCAAGTCAATAATTTGCGGGTTATAATCGGGTTAGGTCATTTTCAAGTCGGGTCATTCTCGGAGTCAATTCAGGAATAATTTGCAGGTTACAATTAGGCCGGGTTATTTCCTACTCAGGTCATATTCGGATTCAACTAACTATAAATAGATAATTATCATTTTTATCAAGCTAATTATTTTCTTTGACTATAATATATATGACAATATACTAGGGAACTATAGTTTATAATTTAGGAAGATAATTATCTCCTTTGATTATACAACAAATATATACTATATTTAACTCTTAAATTTGAGGATGATGCTCCTTTCTTTCGTTGGCCTGGACCAACGTGGTCTCCCTAGACAAAATGCTTTGATCAATAATAATAAGGTGGTCTAAATTACATTTAAGGTGATTTGAAATCAGGTCAGGAACAATTTGGGTTGAATTTAAGTCGGGTCAATAACAAGTCGTGTTGATTTCGAGTTGGGTTAGTAACAAATCGAGTTGAATTTTTGGGTTGGGTTAATAATAGGTCTGGTAAAATTCAGGTTGGTTCAATAACAAGTCGGGTTGAATTTGGGTCAGGTTAATAACAAGTCGGGTTGATTTTGGGTCGGGTTTGTAATAGGTTGGGTTAAATTTGGGTCGGGTTAGGAACGGGTCGGGTTGAATTCAGGTCAGGTTAGTAACAAGTCGGGTTAAGTTCGGGTTTTGACGGGTTAAAATGGGTTTGGGTCAATTTTGGTTCAAGTCGGGTTTGGTTCAGGTCAATAATTTACGGGTTATATTCGGGTCGGGTCATCTCCAAGTCAGTTCATGTTCGGGTTCGGGTCTCATATACTCGGGTCAACTCGGGTCTAGGGTTGGTTTAAGGTCGGGTTCGGGTCACCATTTTTTTGGGTTCAGATGGGTCGGGTAATAATCGGATTTGAGTCGGTATTTCGAATCGAGTCAACTTTTGACACCTCTAATTGTAACCCTAAATAATGCGAAGATTAATCTGGACCCAATACTGGGCTGCAAAAACATGTCCAAACTTGCTATTTTGGGTATTAATAGATTTTTTGGGTCAAAATTAGATCGAGTTAAAATTTCAATTAAAAATGAAATTTTAGGATGTCAAAAACCCATTTTTTTTTAAAAAAGAATTGGGCCAGGCCCTAAAATATCTTCCAAATCCAACAATTTTCGAACTGTCTTTGTTTAAGTCTACTTTTTTTTAATCTTTTTATTTGACAATACTTTAATAAGAAAATTATTCCGTAATATTTACATAACCTTCATTTATTTATGCTGATTTGCTTAAAGTACTCGTATTTTATACTCCCTCCGTCCCTAAATTATATTCCTCTTTCTAGCATTTATTCCTCACATAATAGAGAGAAAGATGAATGTAATTTAGCGACGGAAGGAGTATTAATCGTACAGGTCAAAACAATTTTGAAACTTATCGTAAAACAGTAAAACACTCATGTTAAGATGTGGAAATAAGAGAGCTCATCTCAAACGGACTAAGAATCGAACCCAAGGCCTTTAGACTTAAATAAACATGAAGTTCCAAAAAAAAAGAAAAAAAAAAAGTGAAGTAGTCTATAAATCCTTAGTATATGAATAACTTAAAATTATTATTATTATTATTATTATTATTATTATTAGTTTCTCTTTTTAGATCTAAATTTCCTGTTCAAGAGACATTGGATTACCATTGTTCAAATTTCCAACTCAATTTAAAATTTATAAGGATATACAAGTATGAGTAGCACATTATAGGAGGAAATATTAAAGTGCAACATAATGAATTGAAATATCAAAAAGCAATCGATATTCTTTTTTTTTTTTTTTTTTAATTTATTTATTTTTATATTCTTGTATGTAGATTATAATGTTATTAAACATAAAAGCTTGATAAAGATTAAATGGGAAAATAAAAAGTTTATAGCTATAATTTCATGTGTAATGTTGATCTGATGATCTTATTTTTCTTGTTTTCCTGAGCTGCCCCCACTAACTTCAAGTCGGCATTAAGTAACTGTCATGCAAATAAGTCAAACATAAGTCAAAAATCGTCAAAAGACACTACACTCCTTACTTTTATCCATAAAAATTCTGTCTTTCAAAAAAATATCCATAAAAATTCTAATTTAGTTCCTACAAATTTTATGTTCAAATTGCTAGATTTCAAACTATATACACGAACCGAGCTTGTCAAGTGTGATAACTTACATGTAAATAACAAAGGATTTTCAACTTTATATATACTTGGACCCAACAATGAATAATACTTGTTATTCCATAGAAATTACAATCTTGACCGTTTCAATTTAAAATAAGAATGTATTCTAGAGCATTTTTGTTACATCATTTAAACAGAGAAATACTATCGAAAGCAAAACTTACGCTTAGTTTATGCTAATACTCTAATAGTGTCTCACAGTAGTCTTATACTTCTGCTGCTAGCATGCATGATTCCTGCAAGAGCCTAGTAAAATTCAGTATTGTAAGTGATGAATTTGGCATATACTAGAAAATATGAAATTTAGAAGTATGTATCTAGACGCGCTTTGCACGAATGACATGTAGTTGTTTAAGGAGAGCATCCTTTAGTACTTGCAACTCCCCAATAGCATCTTCGATCCTCATTCGATCTTGTGGTGACTCCACGGAACATTTTACTCCAATTTCAATGATAGATTTTATGCACTTATGTTTCCTGTCAATTTCTATCAAAATTTCGCCTTCATTTCCTTCACTTGTATATCCATCCTCTAGGAGCCTTGGGTCAATGATGTTTTCCAATTGAGCAGACAATGCTGCTGAATTAGCATAATTGTGAAGGTCTAAACCTCGTTCGAACATCTCATCAGTGGGACTCTTTGAAGTCATCATCTCTAACAACACAATGCCGAAGCTGTAAATGTCACCTTCCTTAGACACCATACTCCCTAGGCCATATTCTGTTAAAAACAGAGTTTTCAAAGCAGAGAAATTTTATATTATTTCATTTTATATTAGCTATCTAATTTTAGATTTCAGTGTTATTATTTCATGTTACTGTTGGAAATGGTAATGCAATCGGTTAATTGCAAGGCCTGACGATCCGCACTCGTGGGGGATTAAATGTTCCGAGGAATACTCGTGGCCGACCGGGTGGGCCATTGCCCGACTGGGCCCACCTAATTTGCTTGAGTGGGTTTGTTTATTTGTCTCCTATTTTTGGGATACATATAAAATACGAGTATTGTCATACTTCTTTTAATAATTAATAACACAGTATTATTGAACTCTAAACACATAAACACAAGCCTACCCCTTTGATATCTGAACAGTTCTTGAGCAATTCCAACCTTAAATTCGGGTACACGAATTATGGAGGTCGTTGTGTAAAACTTGGGGGGCGTGCGTCACTAGGATACTTGTACCGGTGATGGCATATTACGCTTCTAAGTCAGTGGGTTCCAAACCACGACACAACTGAAGGAGAATAGGTTTATGATTTGAGTATGGCGGTCGAATTTGCTCCAAGGGAAGTTCTTGATTTGTCTATTAACATTCATGGAATCAACAGGTAATTTTCCAACAATTTAAAAGCGAAATAATATCATTTATATACTATTGATTGCCATGAATTGGAATCGTTTATGCGACATTATGGGATTTCGTTTGCCGCAATGTTTTTTGGTTATAGGAACTTTCTTGGGTTAACGGTGATCTTTGTTCTCAATTTAGCGAGTATCAAGATTATTTTTGGATGCAGAATTTTGATCGAATCAATCAAGAATATTTCTTGTTAATTAAGTCGGTCAATCAAGAAGGTTTTTTTTTTATATACTTCAATATTATTACTCTGTTAAATTGGTCGAAGGCGGTGGTTTTTATTTCCGTCTTCTTTGGAATTGTCCACTTTACTTTAGTGGATTTTGTTTAAGTTTGGTCTTCATATTTCAAGAAGAGATTATAATATCTTGATTTCAAGAAATTCAAAAAGTATCTTGCTGCTTCTTCGACGTCATTAATATTGAAATTGGGTTTGAGTATCAAGTCATTGGCCATGATGAGTTTTGTGAACCAATGTTGAATGTTCCTTTGCGGCAATGGTACTGCGAGATACGCGGATGGAAATTAATGACTTGACGAAGTCACGTAAAGGTGCTAATGGAGAAACAATGCACAACTAATCGTGCTTGATAAAAGATAAGTTCCTTCTTGTATAATAGTTTTAGTATTTTCTAACTCTCCATAATATATATGTTCTTTATTATTATGTCCCCCAAATATGCATAATTTATTATTATGATGTATTGCTTTGCAATGTGGGGGTAATTTGAGTTAGATGTTTGTGACTAACTAGTAAGTTGGTCTTACTCATATTAGTGAGTGGTATTGAGGAGGAAGTTTTCCATGAGTGATCATTTTATCTATGACTTTTTACTGGTTTTATGAGTTGCATGTTCTGCCTTTTGATGTGTGCTTTGTTTAATCATGTATGATTATGAACTTTGCTATTTTTCCTAGTTGATGAGGGATGTTATGTATTCTATCTTTTGATAGTCATTATGTTGAGTTATTTCCTAATCTTGGAAAAATTATTTTGTTGAGCATGGAGTATGTGATAAGCTTGTGATGTTCCTTGTTGGGATTTAAAATTATTGTTGTTAATTCTTGTGGTTTGTTTAGCTTATCTTAGAACTTGAATTGTGTATAATTGCTAGAGGACCAGCATTTAACCTTTCTTGTTAAAGGTCTAAGTGTGACCGGTTTTTCCTCCATGCTTGAGAGCAGAAGTTAAGGTATGATTTGACAAGGACTAGTAAAGTTATTCTGGTTTAAATTTAATGGACTCCACATGAGGTAAGAATAGAAAGGAAATTTTTCTATGTCTTAATTGTAGATTATTTATTTTGTGAATACTTGCTATGTGGGGTTAGCCTTATAGTTCACGTTGTTATGCTATTAAAGGATTGTTCACCCAAGTTGTTAGTTGTCTTTCCCTAAACCATTGACAGGTGTCAGGTTTGATTTCACAAGGTGTGTGATGTGGGGTTTTTTTTTTTCTAACTATGAAGTGTATTTTGTAAAGTACATTTCATACGGCATGTGTGACCAGTATGTAAATGTGTGGGTGATGCATATGTTTGAACTATGAGCTATGTATGTAAGTCTATGTGACTTTGATACAAAGAAGCATGTTATCTTGATATTGTGTTTTCACAATATACATGTAAGTTTGGTATTGACCCAATTTTGTTACTCGTGTTGTGAGTTTGTCTGTTTTGCAGTAAGGTTGTGTAAGCTTCCTAGCATGATTGACTAATAATCTTGAGGTTTGTTAGTGATACAATCATATGAGACAACTCAAGCTATGCGGTATAACCTTCATATATTAAATTAACTTTTGCAATTAATATGGTGAGTGGACTAGAAAGGTCATGTGGGGGCAAGTGTAAGTACCCAAACTACGTTATTTGTTTTTCATTCTTGGCATGCTAATGTATTGATGTAATGCATGTGTGTTTATTATGATAAACATTTATGTTAGTCAGATGTTTGCTTAATTATATGTTTTGATTACACATGTATTGGTCGATTGAGATTGAAGGTCTTAATTTTTATCTATGCCAAGATGAAAGTATGAGATGATGAGATGAGTGGTGTGATTCTAGATGGTAATATCATTGAATCGACCAAGGTATGTATTGAACTCATTCTCACTATGTAGTAAATTTAATATGGTGAATATGTTGATCATGTTAAAAACCAGAGTTGTTGGATGTAGATTAGCTTTGATGTTTGATTCAATATGCTAATGATTTGCAAGTTAATTGATTTAACATATTATTGTTGACATGAGGTAGCTTTGCAGAAAAATTATGTTGGTTCACTTAATTTGTCTTGGTTGCATTGTCCAATTGTTGTTGGAGTTGGAGCGATGCAAGGGACAAAGGTTAAGTAAACAACAAACTAAAGATTTTAATTTCCCTGCCAGTGTATGTTTTTACAGGTTGATGGGTTGTACTCTGTTTTGAGTTAATTGCAAAGCAAGTGTGACACACTATCCGATAGGAAGCAAAGATCGTTGCTATCTAAAGATGATAAGTGTCAAGAATATGAGTTATTGCAAAGTGAACTCCGGATTCGAACCGACGAATAGAAGTTTTGCAGACTCATGCCTTAGCCACTTGGCTACGGTTCCCTATCAATTCTATGTCCGACTTTGCTTCACAGGGCGAGACCAAGAATAACAGATGCCGGAATGCTTGGGGTTTGGGAGAAAGGACACAACATAGGTAAGTTCCTTCGTAGTTTGTCCATTGTGGGGGTAAGTTGATCCTCATGTTCATTACAATATTTTCACAAGTGTCTTTGTGTGTGTTGTCAGGAACTACGAAGGTAGTGACAAAGTAAGACAGGGCCTGTGGAAATGGTACTCTGGTGAGAGTATGTAAAAGCAGGAAGAATCAAGCAGTTCCTTACAAAAGGATGGAGCATAAGTAAGTGCTTGATCGTCTAAGGGAATGTGCTTAAAAATCCCATGTGGTGTTTCATTCCAGTGACGAAGTGTCAGATAATGAGTCTGCGCAATTGAGGTATCTGTTTCAGTAACCCTCTAATTTTTATGGTTATGTGATTCCTTGCTAGACATACTGTTTGATATTAACAAGTTGAGTTTTAGTGCTCTTAATGTGTCCATGACCCAGGTTGGGTGGTCAGGTGAGACAGCTTACATGGATGCACCATGTGCTTTTAACTTGAACTTTTGTTCTGATTGAGTTTAGAGCCTAGTTTGGTTGACTCATTGTTGTTATATACTGTTGGTGTATGTTGAATCTAACTTTTTTGAGTGGTGTTTTGACCAGGTGATTCAGGGACAGGCTGAGTGTGGCTCTTAATGTCATTTGTCCAGATATTCTTTGAATAGGACTGATAATGACGCCGACGTAGAGGTTGAGCATACTCTTAATACCTCTATCTCGGTAATCAAGAGTGAGGAGTGATGGTGGTCTTAAGTGACCTAGACTGTCAGCTCTAAGACTGCTTCAGTAGGGAATGTGCAGTGAGAGGTACCGAAGAGATAGGTTGAGCGTAGCTCTTAATGGCTCTAGCCCAATGGCTCAAGAGTAGGGAGTTATAGTGGTCTTAAGTGATCAGGAACTATTAGCCCAGATACTACTTGAGCAGGGACCGATAGAGACACCGAAGTGTTGAGTGCATCTTGCCCGAAAGCTCGTTGAGCTGCGGCGAGATGGTGCACTATTAAATGTTGAAAGATGATGAACTTAAGTGTTCTTAATGTCGAAACTCCGATGCATGAATAGTCCTTGAATTTGCAAAGTATTGTGAGTTGCACATATTTGCATGAATAGTTCTTGGATTTGCAAGAGTGTGTGATGGAGATCACACGGAGACACCTGCGTGAGTACGAAGAGTGGCGCTCTTCTAGGAAGGATTGGGCGTGATCCTTTTGAAGTACTCATAAGATCCCAAGTGTATCCAAGAACCGCGGAGTTTCTCGAGCTCTAAAGACAAGGTATGTGTTCCCAAGGTCCCTTCCTCGCTCCTATGAGTTCAAACGTTTGGATACTCACTAGGGAAGTGTTGAAAACCTTGTGCACTAATGTGTTAGTTCAAATCTTCGGATACTAGCTGTAGGGAATAGTTTCAAGCCTTTAAAATCCCACTAGCTTTAACCCCACTGTGATCATACACTAAAGTACGGTGGCGTCCAAAAGGGAAGAAATAGAGCAAAAGAGTCGCCAACAAGTTTTTAAGGAACTTGTAAACCGTTCACGAGGTGAAGGTTACACCCCTTAACGATCCAAGAGATCGTCAACTCCATAAGGTCATGAACCAAATAAGGGTTCGGGGATGAAGGTACAAATCCAACCTAAAAGAGATTGAACCTGCCCTAATAATAGGCCTCTACTTTATTCTGCTCGTATTCATGTGCGCTTTTTGA